GTGTGATATTCATTGTCTTTGGTCCCTTGTACAATTTATGTCCTGANTGATGTTCATCCTTCCAAGTAGAGGAGTAATAAAGTGAACCACACAAAACAAGGAGCCGATCTCCAATGAAGAATGAGTGAATCACGTTCCACCTTTCACGGCTTTGGTAAAGCTCTAGAAAAGTGGAAGAGTTTCACTCGTCTAAGGGAAGAAGGAAGCTAAAATAATGGAAGTGAGAGAAGCTAATCACTTTTGGAGGGTTTCCACCGCATCCAAAAGATGATCTATCTCCCTTGATACAAGTAAATATAAGCCTAAGTCTAAGATTAATTCTACAACTACAAGTGGGAGTCTAAGCCTCCATCAAACTCTCTACAAGACTCCTAAAAGAACTCTCCCAAAGAACTCTCTCAATGAGAGTATTAATAAGCAAAGAGGAGGGGACAAGGTAGCATGGAGGAATAGTACAAGACCTTCAAAGTCCAATGTCTGGAGAGAAAATCAACTACTCTACAGCCTGTTTGAAGACAACGTTCGAACGTTGTATGGCGTTTGAACGTTGCTTCGATCTTTGCTTGATGGTCGCTCGAACGCCAGATGGGGTCTGACCTTCCCACTCAAGTAGCCTGTGGTCTTCTGTGAAATCCATTTCCACACTCCATGCACAACTTGACGCTTTGCACTCAGCATCATGACCCTCAAATAATTGAAGGGGACGTTCGAACGTGAATTGACATTCAAACGTGATACTCAAGTACCTTAGTGTTTTCCTTCTTGGCTGCAACACGCCATGTCTTAGCATCCTACAGTTTGATCTTCAATAATTCAAGAGAACGTTAATTGGCATTCGAACGTTCTTGCCTTGGTCCAAGCTTTTTCAATTTTGCTCCAAGATATGCTGGTGTTGCACGAAAGTGTGATATTCATTGTCTTTGGTCCCTTGTACAATTTATGTCCTGAAATGTCAGCATTTAAACTCCATCAAAATATAATTAGTACTAAAAAGGCATAGTGATATGCTGATTTTAACTACTAATCAATGACCAAGTAATTGAGATTACATAAGATTTCACAAATTTAGCTAATTACAAACATAATCTTAACAATATCACTTTGACAATTTCTTGACAAAGTATAATAGTAAGAAATTAAGGACTACAACTTAAAAACTATTGAAAACAAATGAATTATAAACTAATCTTAACACCCTAGTACAAGTATGTCTGTCTCAATACAAAATAAATAAATTATGTTCTTGACAAAAACTTTGAAGACCATAGTCTTGCACACTATAACCCAACTAATACCNTTTGAAGACAACGTTCGAACGTTGTATGGCGTTTGAACGTTGCTTCGATCTTTGCTTGATGGTCGCTCGAACGCCAGATGGGGTCTGACCTTCCCACTCAAGTAGCCTGTGGTCTTCTGTGAAATCCATTTCCACACTCCATGCACAACTTGACGCTTTGCACTCAGCATCATGACCCTCAAATAATTGAAGGGGACGTTCGAACGTGAATTGACATTCAAACGTGATACTCAAGTACCTTAGTGTTTTCCTTCTTGGCTGTAACACGCCATGTCTTAGCATCCTACAGTTTGATCTTCAATAATTCAAGAGAACGTTAGAACATTAATTGGCATTCGAACGTTCTTGCCTTGGTCCAAACTTTTTCAATTTTGCTCCAAGATATGCTAGTGTTGCACGAAAGTGTGATATTCATTGTCTTTGGTCCCTTGTACAATTTATGTCCTGAAATGCCAGCATTTAAACTCCATCAAAGTATAATTAGTACTAAAAAGGCATAGTGATATGCTGATTTTAACTACTAATCAATGACCAAGTAATTGAGATTACATAAGATTTCACAAATTTAGCTAATTACAAACATAATCTTAACAATATCACTTTGACAATTTCTTGACAAAGTATAATAGTAAGAAATTAAGGACTACAACTTAAAAACTATTGACAACAAATGAATTATAAACTAATCTTAACACCCTAGTACAAGTATGTCTGTCTCAATACAAAATAAATAAATTATGTTCTTGACAAAAACTTTGAAGACCATAGTCTTGCACACTATAACCCAACTAATACCTCGTGAAAAATATCATATGTAAACAATACATAACATAATCACATGTATGGAAATCACCAAGAGAAACATAAAGCGTTTTCATGTTAACATCATGCAAGTACAACTATGACACATATATAAGCAAAGTTTGCCCATTATGCTTAGAACTTATAAATTTATCAAAGACAATACTACATAAGTTCTCCCCTTTAGTTGGTGTTCATAAGAAAAATTACAAGTGAAAAATTATAAGAAAAATATGTGACTTCATGTCCAGTTTGTGTATGTACTCCTCCCAATTATTTCAGCAAACTCCCCCTTACTCTACTCTCATGCAACTAAACCTAGCTAATTAGATTTCACCCCAATTTACTCTAAAAAATCTATTTAGGAATATTGTAGGGGGAAGGCCAAGGTCTCTCTCTCTCCAAAACATGTACTTCTTAAAAAATTTATAATATACACTCATTCAGGAATGTGCCAAGTTTTAGTTTGGTCCCGGAAGTTTCAATTGAAACAATTAAGTTGAGTTTCAATTTAACCCTTGAATCAGTTAACTCAATTTGACAAAAAGAAAAATGTGACCAATATGTGACTTATTTAGAGAAATATGTTTACCCCACTAAAAAATACAATCCTGCCGCATGGATGTTACCATTGCCTTCTGTTTAATTTGATTGAATGAACAAGACAAAACACAAAAGAGGATCGAAAGAGATGTAGGGACGCGAGTAGAAAATGGACGTATAATGAACGAAAAGGGATAATGAAACTAAATCATTGATTTGCGAATAAATACCGTTTTGAGAATCCTACTCTAGACCTGTTGATTCTGCTATATACCATTTTTAAAGGTTTCAATGAATCTTTTAATTCCACATAATACTAGAAAGATTAAAAATAAAAGAGCAGCTCTCTCAATTGTATTAATCAATAAAAATTACTTACTCCTAAGGCATACAAGGGTACAAATAATGCTAAAACCCTAAAACTAATTAAAAAATAACCAAACATGACCTAATTATCGTTAATTACGTAATTAGGCCATGAATACAGATTTTGCCAAAAAAGAAATTTTGAAAACTAATTATACTGCTAAAAACTACTAATCAGTCAGATTAAGGTAGAACTGATAACGATCAATTCTGACTTTAGAATGTGAAGTTATTCAATTACAAAATATTACCAAAAATGGAAAAACACCATTTTCAATTCTTAAACGAAAGAATTTGCCTGAAATCCACCCTGGGTCATTGCTTCCCTATTAGGAGTGCAATGAGTTCATTTCACTCCGTCATTGCTGATTGGACATAGGTGTTTGGAAACTCATGTATGTGGAAGTGCCCATTTGACTGATGCAAACCACCCCAACATCAATCCCATTGATTTAAGTATTTTGCTGCTTTATAATCTGCATCAGAAACCTACAATAAAAATATGTTAACATTAATAACAACTGAGCAAAACTGTGTTCTTTGGGAAGGACAAACGTGCTATTATGAATAAGTCATATGCTTGTAACATGGCTCCATTTTGTCAGATTAATTTGAAAAATTTAGATGCAAGAATTGAATCAAAACTCAGTTAAAGTTATAAAAACTTGATTGTTCCAACAGAAACTCAAAAGGACCAAATCGAAATTTGCTCCATACTTGAAGGGTGTAAATAGAAAATTGCCCACATTTCTTTCCTTAATATCAGCATCCTTCCTTCAACTCCCTCCTTCAAAAAGCGAACCATCACTTTCTTCCCCACTAATATCCTTGAGCCTTTCTCTCACTCATCCTGAACCATTTTCCGTCTCTCCGTCCAAATTAACCAGCTTCTCTCTCTCTCTCTCTCTCTCTCTCTCTCTCTCTCTCTCTCTCACTCACACACACACAAAATGAAGAACAAGCAGCAACAGCAACAACTAACCTCAAAGCCCCTTAATTTCCAAATGTACCTCCATAGCCTCATCTATTGTATGTTACTTGTCTCCGGTTTAGTAATTGGAATCACGCTAAGTTTCTATATGAAAGAGATTCCCTTCAACTTTCAACTCAAGCAATTCTCCATGCAACCACCTCCAACATCACAGCCTCCTCCGTCAGCACCGCCTCCACCTTCGTTGCCACAACTACAAAATTTCAAATCCTCGAATATCCCGATTTATCTGAAAAATAACACCCGAATANGTCAGATTAAGGTAGAACTGATAACGATCAATTCTGACTTTAGAATGTGAAGTTATTCAATTACAAAATATTACCAAAAATGGAAAAACACCATTTTCAAGTCTTAAACCAAAGAATTTGCCTGAAATCCACCCTGGGTCATTGCTTCCCTATTAGGAGTGCAATGAGTTCATTTCACTCCGTCATTGTTGATTGGACATAGGTGTTTGGAAACTCATGTATGTGGAAGTGCCCATTTGACTGATGCAAACCACCCCAACATCAATCCCATTGATTTAAGTATTTTGCTGCTTTATAATCTGCATCAGAAACCTACAATAAAAATATGTTAACATTAATAACAACTGAGCAAAACTGTGTTCTTTGGGAAGGACAAACGTGCTATTATGAATAAGTCATATGCTTGTAACATGGCTCCATTTTGTCAGATTAATTTGAAAAATTTAGATGCAAGAATTGAATCAAAACTCAGTTAAAGTTATAAAAACTTGATTGTTCCAACAGAAACTCAAAAGGACCAAATCGAAATTTGCTCCATACTTGAAGGGTGTAAATAGAAAATTGCCCACATTTCTTTCCTTAATATCAGCATCCTTCCTTCAACTCCCTCCTTCAAAAAGCGAACCATCACTTTCTTCCCCACTAATATTCTTGAGCCTTTCTCTCACTCATCCTGAACCATTTTCCGTCTCTCCGTCCAAATTAACCAGCTTCTCTCTCTCTCTCTCTCTCTCACTCACACACACACAAAATGAAGAACAAGCAGCAACAGCAACAACTAACCTCAAATCCCCTTAGTTTCCAAATGTACCTCCATAGCCTCATCTATTGTATGTTACTTGTCTCCGGTTTAGTAATTGGAATCACGCTAACTTTCTATATGAAAGAGATTCCCTTCAACTTTCAACTCAAGCAATTCTCCATGCAACCACCTCCAACATCACAGCCTCCTCCGTCAGCACCGCCTCCACCTTCGTTGCCACAACTACAAAATTTCAAATCCTCGAATATCCCGATTTATCTGAAAAATAACACCCGAATAGGCTTAACAGAATATCTAAAGCCCCCGAACACAATGCATGACATGGAAGATGAAGAGTTGCTGTGGAGGGCCTCAATGGTTCCCCGGAAACGCAACTTTCCGTTCCAGCGAGTCCCAAAAGTTGCTTTCTTGTTTTTAACAAGAGGGCACTTGCCATTGGCTCCTCTTTGGGAGAAATTTTTCAAAGGGCATGAAGGGTTTTACTCCATATATGTACATTCCCAGCAATCCTTCAATGGAACAGTGCCTGAAGATTCTGTGTTTCATGGCCGATCAATCCCAAGTAAGGTAAGTTTCAAATAATTTCATTTTTTTTATCTTAAGAAAATTTTCATTTTTCAGCTCTCAATCCAATGTTCTTTAGATCACATCGAGATCCATGAAAAAAGGCTTTTTTATCATAGGTGCATCAGTACATGTTTACTAGTACTAACAAAAAGTTATTTAATATGCTTTTTTGTTGACTTCTTACATTGAAATTCTCAAGATTTTATTAAAGAACGATGTATTTAATGAAAACCTGTGCCTGTAACGGGTCAACAGCTAGTTCTCATACACAAAACATAGAGCGAAGAAAAATATAATTAATGAAACATTTGGTGTTATTGGGTTGGGTATTATTTAAAGACGTAAAACCCGCAATAGATGGTTTTGAAATATTCATTGAGGCAAAAAAATAAATTAAATATGGATTGAATATTATAAGGTTGTATGCCACATTCTCTACTTTATTACCTCAAGCAAGAATCGTAATGATGCATTCATGTAGAGATGGATCTACAAATTCAGAATGACTTATAAATTTTTCAAAAAATTCTAGAGGTAATGAACAGTTTGATAGTATTCATAACTAATATTATCTTAGAGGTGATCATCTCCCACCTGTACCTCAAGTCAATATTCTTTCGCACAACTTAGGCTTATATAGTAGCCAAACTTTTTCCCTTTACATTGATATAGGTCACTAATTAAAAAAAAAAATTGAAAATTTGCTAAGCAGTTGTCTTCTAGCCCTTGTTCTTTGACTTCTTCCTACCTTTCAATTTGGCCAAATAAAAATATTATTGGGGCGGAGCCGGCATATGCCCAAGGGGCCACATGCTCATACTCAAATATATATTTTTTAATATTATCTATGTCTATTTTAAATATTTTTTAATATTTTTAACTATGTCTACTCTATTTTTTTTTTTTTGACAAATCAATTAGTGTACATGAATTTTTTGACCATATTATATACCTATTTAGATAAATTTTAAATATACTAAAATTATTTTATACTTTGTAAGACTAAAAAAGATATGATGTACATATTAGCTAGTTTACTTGTGATTTGGACATTTATTTTGCTAATTACAACAGACATTATAGAGTACGCATGTAACTGTATAATCGAATGAGTGATAAATACCAAAATGATAACATAATTGTGTATATAAAGAATAATAAAGTTGTTACACAATGATTTCAAAGTACGAAAATTCACTGAAATTAATTCTAAATAATTTTAATTAGCTTATATTTTATAAAAAAAATATAATTAGTCTTTTTATTGTTGTCGTTTATATATACTAGACTTACCAAATTTTAGTCTATTGAGTTTTTAAATATTGAATATGATGTAATTATATATAAATTATTATCCTATTTATATCAATTGTAAGAAAAAAATTCAAATAGAATTTAGTATTTATATACGGGTCGTCCTCTCATACTTGGCGAGTGAAATTGAAAAAAATAATACCGTAGTGGTGCTAAGTGCAAATATGTTGTGCGCCAATCAAAGGAAAACTTGTGTGGGTGAACCCATTTTACCATTTGACACATCTAAAAGGAGTATATTGATCACCATAGGCCTATCAAGCTTAAAATATTCGATGCAGCATAGTTAACTATTGTTGTTTTTGGAACAACATATTTTATTTTTTCAATCCGGAAAGGTTCACCAACGTTGTTTTTTTTTTTTTTTTTATCAAGATTGAGCTGCAAATGCATTGCTTAGATTCTACTTCTTTTGCACATGCAAGAAATTTCTATTACTTTCCATTTGTTATCCCACCCTTCCAAATTCCTTTCTTCGTGCACTCTCTCTCTCTCTCTCTCACACACACACACACATGGTAGAAAGGTTGAGAAAAAAGCCTAGAACGGAAGAATGTGTCAAAAAGAAATAAAAGATATCTTGAAAGCCAATTCAGAGAAGTAATGGCCCTTAGCTAACTGCGTCTATAATCATTAAAGCACAATACATAATCACATTTGAGAGGGGTGGGGGAATACATATTTCTTGGACCTATAGCTCGAATCCTCATCTTCACTGCCAGCAGAGAAAGGTTCTTAAGTCTGTTCAGTCAAAACAGGAACCATAGTTCTTAACCCACACTTGACTTCCTTAATTAAGGCTTTTGTTAGGCTAGGGGTGTGATTTGGATCATCTCAATTTCAATTGCTGTCCATTTTTGTCAAATTCAATCATCTATCCTTAACTTTACGAAGCCTTATCAGATGAAAGCGGTAAAAGAACATATAACGAACCTTTCAATTGTTGATTAAATTTTATTCAAATCTATTGAAATTTAAAATTGAGAGGATCCTATACGCCAAAGTCTTAGATGACTTAGTCATATGCATATGCGCGCACCCTATTTTCTAGAGCTAACATGCCTATCTTCATAATAATGCAGCATGTAGAATGGGGAATGTTCAACATGATTGAAGCAGAGCGACGATTACTGGCTAATGCATTACTTGACTTCTCCAACCAACGTTTTGTTCTCCTCTCAGAGTCTTGCATTCCTCTATTCAACTTCACAGCCATCTATACTTACCTCATCAACTCAACCAAAACCTTTGTGGAGGCATACGACTTGTGGGGCCCAGTGGGGAGAGGCCGGTACAGCCACCGCATGAAGCCAACAATCATGCCAGACGATTGGCGAAAGGGCTCACAATGGTTCGAAATGGATCGAGACCTAGCGATCGAGGTTATCTCTGAGCATAAATATTTTCGATTGTTTAGAAGGTTTTGCAAGCCTTCATGTTATTCGGATGAGCACTACTTGCCTACATTAGTGAGTTTGAGATTTTGGAGAAAGAACTCAAATAGGACTTTGACTCGGGTTGACTGGTCGAAGGGTGGACCTCATCCAGCTATGTTTGGTGAAACAAATGTGACCATTGAGCTTTTGAACATGATGAGGAATGGAACCAACTGTTTGTACAATGGGAAGAGCACAAACAATTGCTTCTTGTTTGCAAGGAAGTTTTTGCCAAGTGCTTTGGATAGGCTTTTGAGCTTTGCGCCAATGGTTTTCAACTTCAACTGATTTGTACAAAAAGAAATTATTGTACCCTTTATTTTTGGAGTAATGCTAATAAGAGGTAAGAAATTGATCTAATTTATTCACTTAATGATCTGAGCGTGATATGTCAATAATATTGTTGTGAATGTATGTACTTCATCATTGAGATTCTATCGCTTACCACATCATTACATTAACAGCTTTTAAGTCTCAATAACATTAATCTTTTTTTCTTTTGTTATTTTGATGAATGTTTTGCATGTACTAACATAAAATTTTGTTAATTTGGAATAAGAAATTGATTAAGATTCCCTTTTTCCCCTTTTTTATAATTAATTTTGAAAAAGTCAATAATAACCATGTTATGATGTGTAGGTCACTTTATTGAAAATGGGAATAATACATTCTCAATTTAAGGTTAATTGTAATGCTTAATGCTTGTTTTCATATATTTCTCCTTCTTCCTCCCACCCCAAAACTAAATTGGCAATATGTAGTAGTAAAGGATAGATTTGGGAATTATGGTTTAGGGAGGAGAGGACACATATACCTGTCAATGAATCGTATTTTGAAAGCTAACCTTTAGTCCTAAGTCTTTGAAGGTCTAATATATATGCACGAGCCATATGAGAATGAAATGCATTTGGATGGTAATAGACTTTGGTCAGCCGCTTCTCAAATTATGCCATTTCTCCTTAGCTTTTGGAGACCACGGGTAAGAACGAACTAATGCTTTCGGCAGCTCTTGAATATTCGTTCATTTGCTAAAGGGTAAGTTTTCCTTTCTGAAGCCCTGAAATAAATGTGAATTAAATTTTTTTTTTTTTTCTGATCAAGAAATCTTAATTCGATTTGACAGATATAAATTGATAGTTTTAACTGGTTGTTTGAATATGTTGTATCATATTTTTTTGTATTTGAAATTTGATATACCCATATCTAATCTACTTGCAATCAAATTATATATTTATATACTAACAATAACTTGTGTCTAAAGACAGGATTCTTCCCCTTTCTTTAATTACATAATTTGAAATTATTTTTTATTCATTACTTTTTAAAATAAAAATAGAAAAAATTTACTCAAAATACGTTACCTCAAAAAAATAGTAACATGAGTATACTATCGTATATAAACAATGTCCAAATAAAAGTTGTATTTGAGTCACAAATTAATTAAAAAATAAATGATTCAACTTGTGATAGAAATAAATGATGTGATAAAAAAATTAAAATGTCAAACTCTCTTATTGTATAGATATGGATATTTTATTTCACCGTAGAATACTAATAATGGAGCATTGCCCTATTTATAGATAGATATACATGCGCACATACACAAACATGTACGCGCACATATACATATACACAGAATTGAAGAATTATTTAGGGAAATAGAGTTGAAATTTACTATAAAAAAATCTCTAATCGAGTAATTCAAATATGATTGGATGATCACTTCAGATTCTCAACTTTGATGAGAGTGTTATGGGTGGCCGCTAGACTGAAAACCAAGTGGTTAAAACGTCTTTTTGTGCTAGACATCTACAAGGGGAAAAATCTGTGCAATCGTTAACTTAGCGACAGTTGGCTGAATCACGCCTAAGACTCTTGAAGCAAGGAACGAAATTAGGAAGGGGCCAGACATGTATTTGGCGTATTCCCTCCGATATCTAAATCAAACAGGTGGTGTTTGGATCGAACAATTAGGTGGGATTGGATTAAAACAGTGAAAGGACCCACTTATCCTTGTTTTGGTTGAACAAAGTGGAATGAGCTCCTCGGTGGGATTCAAAAAATCGCCATTGTCTTGTAGAGTGGATAATCCTTCCTAGGCAGGATTATCTCAACCCATGTGAATGGAGGGATTCAAAATCTAGTGAAGGGGATATATGGCTAAATTACATAAACACCCTTAAACAGTTGGATGTTTGAGACCCTGCGCATCAGAGGGTGAGACCCTCCAAGGCAATGGTTGGATGGGAGTCATATTTGTTTGAATCCAATGTAAAAACCAACAATTTTTCTGGGTACTTACAACCAATTATTTGATGTATGGAAGGGAATTAATTGAGGTTGGATTGAATTTCACTGGTCAAAATGAATCTCAGAGATATATAATGAAAACAGAGCCTCAGACGATTGTACTTACAACCTTCTCTGTTCTTGGCTCTCCCTCTTTGGTTTTGATTTCTCTGCTTTTCCTTGATGTGCTGAATAGAGAGGTTGGGACTCTCTCTTCTTCGGATCTCAGAATTTGATCTCCTTGATTAAAGGATTTGGGAAGACTTCATCTGTCTGTTGGAATTCCACTCTCTCATTTCCCATCTGAATCACAGGTTTACCAAGGCTGAAAATTCGTGTTCTACCAAGCCATCTTTCACTCTACATTTTATACACAAGCCAACCCACCACCAGAACCACACCTTTCACTCCAGCCCATCACTCTCTTAAACCAGCTTCCCACCACCATTTTTCCACTTTCTCTGTCGAAGAGTGGACTCACAAGAGTGAGGGGAGGGGAGAGAAGTTTTGGGTCTTTAGCAATGGCTGGGAATGGAGTTTTTGCTGAGATAATTGATGACGATGTCAGAGGTGTTCAAGTTCCAAATGCTTCTCTCTCTCTATCTCTGTCTCAATGGTTTCTCTGTGAGTGATGGTGAAGCCGAAGCATCTAGAACCAAATGAGTATTTTAACCAAATTAAAATATAGTTTATACCTTAGTGATTCGGGTTTTTTGCACCCGACCCCCATTATTTTGAAATTAACACATAACTCCCTTATACTTTTGAATTTAATTGTTACCGTTACAAATTATCTATCAATTGACAAAATATAGCATGCAAGCATATGATTTGAGAGTAAGTGTGTGAAAATATTCGGTCTAAGTCAACTTTGAATAAAATTATTTGGGTCTCATTAAAAAATCATAATTGTTCTATGGTATTAGACCTCATTAAATCTTAAAGTTTTAAGATCTTCAAAATTTTATGTTCATCCACTTGTTTCCTTTTATATGAATTCTTAATCAAATTAACATTTTAAGTATAGCAACATATTTTAAATTTACTTGATTTGTATTATTAAGTCAGACAATAATATTAAAATGCCCTAAAAATCATGGAAAATAAATTGCTTTTGGATCATTGAAAAAAATTTAATATGGTTTGGATTAATTTTGCTATTTATTGAAAAAATACAATTAACTTTTATTTTTAAACACACAACTAAGGATTTTAAAGAAAGAAACAAATAACGACCTACACATGAGTTGTATCAATTTGTGTATTGTTGTTCTGTTGAATTTTTTTTTTTTTGCATGATGCATATGATTTTTTGTGATTAAAAGTGTATTGTACAAATTAAATTAAATAATGAACAAAATATTTATTACAATATTTTTGTAAAAATGTATAATTTATTGATTCATATTTTTTTTTCGTAAATAAGACAATATTAATGGATTGAATTTTTTTTTCATTCCATTCCAAACATGGTATAGGATTGGATAACATTTTTTTACACAAATGTGAAATGGTCATTTAAGTTTGTTTTATTTTCACATGTGAATGAGACCCACAAACCAAATGAAACCTATCCAAAAATGGGATAGGATTTAAATTCGAACTTTATAATCCTTCAATCCGGATCACATTGCATTGGATTGAATTGAGTTCGGATTCAAATTCAATTCAATCCAATCCTTCCATGGTGATCCAAACACCACAAGAGTTTTAGAAATTGAGAGAGGGAAGGAGAAACCATTGGTGCAATTTACTCTATTAAATGTAAACCATGATCCATAATTCACCCCCAAAACACATCATCATTTTGTTAAGCTAATTTATTTGACATTGTTTTGGATATTTGTTTTTTTTCTTTTTAAATCTATTTGAAGTACAAAAAAAAAGTAAAGATAATTATATGAGCAATTCTATTACGACTTAATTTATTGATTTAATTCATTATGACCTTTGAATTAACTATATGTCCCTTAAAACATTGAAACTTGATATTGATTGAATGGTTTTAATTAAGACACATCATTAGGTCAGCAAATCAAGTCAAATTTTTAAGTCCAAATATAATTAGTCTAATTGTATTAAGTCTGTTAACGCCACAGTTTCTGACAATATAGGGGTCTCTTTGCAATTTTAATAATGATTAGAGGTGTACATGTTATCTAATCAAATGTTAGGGGATGTAGGTGAAATTTACCCTTGTTTTTTTTCTTCTCTTTCCGTAGTGGGCACTTCGTCCTTCTCTCGCTTCGCCAAGGTAAGCAATGTTTTTTCTTCGCTTATTTGATTGGTTTGTTTGTGATTGAGCCCTATTCATAACCAACAAACCCTAATTCGATCACCACATATATGCGCTTTCTCTTTTGTAGCCTGTGGGAAGTTGTAAAAAGTTTAGGCATGGCCAAGACCTCCTTCAAGTTGGAACACCCTCTCGGTTCGTTTGTCAATTGCAAAACTTTTTTATATTGTGTAATGTCTGATGGATTGGCTTAATTCAATGATGTTTTTAATGGGTTTGCTGAAATTTGTGGCTTGTGATCTGGGTTTTTGTTGTAATTACTGTTTGCGCTAAGGAATTGCATAGGAAAAAAATTGGAATTTGAAAAGTTTTTCTGCGGAATTGCATGAACAAATTTTTCCGGTGTGAAAAATGTATATTTTAGATTATAGTTTGTCGGTAAAGAAGGAATCCNTTTTTTTTTTGCATGATGCATATGATTTTTTGTGATTAAAAGTGTATAGTACAAATTAAATTAAATAAATGAATAAAATATTTATTACAATATTTTTGTAAAAATACGTAATTTATTGATTCATATTTGTTTTTCGTAAATAAGACAATACTAATGGATTAAATTTTTTTTTATTCCATTCCAAACATGGTATAGGATTGGATAACATTTTTTTACACGAGTAAAATAGTCATTTAAGTTTGTTTTATCTTCACATGTGAATGAGACCCACAAACCAAATGAAACCTATCCAAACATGGGATAGGATTT